GAAGACACAACCGACATCATCGTGAATTTTGGGGTTTATTTCTTCATGTTGATAGTCATGGTTGAGGACGACACAACCGACATCATCGTGAATTTGAGGTTTATTTCTTCCTGTTGATAGTCATGGTTGAGGATGACACAACCGACATCATCAGTGAATTTTGGGGTTCATTGCTTCAAAACTAGCATATTTTGATTTGGTTATCGAGTCTTGGTTAAGGGATGACACAACCGACATCGTCTTTCCAAGTTCAAAATATCTGGTTTCAAGCTCGTATTATCTATCCTCTAGGCTATGATAGGTATACAAAAAAAATTTGGCTCATTGTGTTAGTCTCTAAGCAGCAATGTATTATCAAGCTTTATGATTCATCCCTTGGGTTACGGTGGATATACAAAATCTATGTCTTAAACTTACTATATTAGCCCCCAAACATTAGTAAGTCAGTTTTTCAAACTTGTATCGTTTACCTCCTAGGGTATGGTAAATATGCAAAATTTACAATCTCTTTTAGATATTAACGGGTTATCCATGTTGTCATACTTGAAATCAAATCAATTTTGGTTCAAACATTGGTTAGATGATACATCATCATCTATGCCTACTCTTCATATTCATGGGAACGCTTACAGTGTATCCTCTTGATCAGTCGGACAAATTTTAGAGTCTTCCAATATTTAATAAACTTTTGATCAGAACGTGTGAGACATGTGTATTCTCGCACTATTCAGTAGAAAGGTAATTAAATAGGGGAAACTATTATACCCCAAAATTGCCCTGCCATTTTTAATAGCCATATTATTACTATAAAATATAGTATTTGAATTTGGCTATTTTTTGAGTATTTGCTTATAGGGGTTTAAGTGTCAAAGAAGAGGTATATTTTAAAAAAAAGGGGGGGGGAGTATTTCATAATATAGGGGTGTGTTATTTGGGCCATCAAAATATAATGGCCCATTTTAAGTTTTTTGACTCTTTTTTTTATATATAAACAGAGGGGTGCGTTTTTGTCTTCATCAAGTCCATTCACGCTTTTTGATCAATGGCCCATAAAAAGATTTTTTGGCCCAAATTCTTGTATGACTAGAAGTCAACTTCTAACTTTTGATTATTCAAAATTGTGTTTATTATTATTATTACTAATCATTATGTTTTAATACTTAATTAAAGTTTTATCTGTTTTATTTTAATTAATGAAGACAAATTTAAAAATAAAGAGGCCTCTACTAAATACAGGGCCCGATCTCTTTTAAAGGTCCAAAACCAGGTCATAAAAAATTGTTTTTGTTACAAGTCAGAAAAAACTTGGCCCAAGACAAAAAGGAAACATTCATTGTACGAATCCAAAGGAAAGAGTAACGCATGCTTTAATTTTAACAGTTACTGTATCAATCATTAAGAAAACAACGCATGTCTCAATAAACAATTGTTGCTGGAATCAAATCCAATATTTCCTTTATTCAGAAGATCTTTACAGTACATAATCAAAATAAAAACAGAAACAAGTTGATATTTGCATAACTAAATTGGACCATAATCAAAAACAACAAATCCAAACTTAACTAAAACAAACTATTTGCTGACAAAATCAAATCTTTACTCAATTGTCCAAAACATATACATACAGAACGAAATCAAATATTACATTAAGTTTTCATTTCCAGGAACGAATCTTACAGATCGAATCAAAATTACAAATTCCTAATCTATAATTGAATCAAATCTTCTAATTTGAACCTAATTACAATCAATTTCTAAATCAAATATAACCTATTTCTAATCAATCAGCATTAAATCTCCAATTTGTAATAGAAATTATAACAAAGTTTCCTAATCTAAAATCCTAAAAAATCATATAAATATCAAACCCTAAAAAAATTGTAAGAAGGGAAGGAAAAGAGAAATCACAGAGGAAATTTATAGAGGAAGGGAGAAATTCTATAGAGAGAAGCAACCGAGGCCCGGCCGCTCGCATTTGTGTTTGAGATTTAAGTTTCGAAATCCGAAACCCTAAATCGGTTCAAGTCGTCTATCTTTATCATCATCTTCACCATGCTGTCGTCGCCGCTCTATACCACTTTGTCATCTGCAAAAATCAAAACGAGGAAAAAAGATTAGAGAAGAGAGATCGAAATTCATAGAAAAAGCACACAACGAGGTAATCGTTTAGTTTAAAAGTTTTGTTTTTGTGTTGATTTGGGGGTTGGGGGGCTTGTGGGTTACACTATTTTGTAGGGGTATCAGAGAGGAAGAGAAGGGTTTTGAGGTGGCGTCGCCGCTGGTTTAGGCCTAGGGTTCGTTGTTAGGGTTGGGAGAGGGGTGAGATAAGAGAACGAGAGAGAAAGAGGTTTAAGAGAGGAAATAAACAAACGTTCTGTGAAATGAAAAAATATCTTATGATGTATGACCCCGTGCGAACGAATCCATATCAATTACCATGTTCCCTCAATGATCACCATACGATCTCAATCGTACGTATCTGATGCGCCGACCTACGTTATTACCGTATGTCTATCCACATGGAGTCTAACATACTCCCAACCCTTGGGCCAGGCCCACTTACTAAGAACACCCCTATTTTTTTCATCTTTGCTAGTTAGTACAAAAATACACCCCCTGTCTAACGGGTCCAGTCCAAAATCTGGACTTGAGCCCCCTACTTCTCACGCCCCCCATTTTACTATGTAGGCCAAAAGCACACCCCCTATCTTTTGGGCCTGAATTCAATATCAGAATTCAGGCCCATGCTATTAGCACTCCCTAGTTTTACTACCTTAACATCATTTGCAACCCCCCCTGCGTTATTAATTTATTTTCTTTATTATTTAATTTTATTTTATTTTATTATATTTTCTATTTTCATATATAATTTTAATATTATATTAATTAATTTATTAAATAATAGTTTTTTCTAAACATCATTCAAATATTATTTATTTTATGTGCATTAAATTGTCTTTTAATCATGCATTTTGATTAAGATTTTTTTCAAATAATTAATACTTAAAAAATATTCAACCAAATATCAAATTATTTTTCATAAGTAATTCAATTCAACAATTAATTTTCGAAAAAGGAGTACGAAACGTATTTTAATTAACTGCGCATTTGGTCTAAAATTTCCGCTATTCACACATCGAGGCTAAGTGCGAGAGAAATTTAAATATCTTCGTAACCCATAAAAAACACAAACACGTACGAACTACGAATTGGGACTCTGATTCCTCATATGAGGATACATAGGCATATGACTTAAAAACCGTGACGAGTTCCCCTATTAAAAAATTAAAACTCTTACCCTAAACCTTAAAAAACTAAATTTTGGTATCCTTGTGAACAAGGTAGATGAGGGGTGCCTAACATCTTCCCTTCGTCTAAACGAAGTAAGAACCTAAAATCTTTGTGTATAAAATTAGGGTTTCCTATTAGATTCTCTTTCTTAGGATAAAAACTAATGGTGACGACTCTCAATTTCAAACCAGTTACAACACGCGACTGAATTAGTGTACTCTTTTTCATGTGTAGCCCAGAAACTAATGTAGAAACTCCACTCATGCATATCGTTTCACCATCACTCAACTTCACGAACTCTCCTCCATGGTAGAAAAACAATGTTAAACATCGGTTTGTTCTGAAATTAGATACTAAATGTAAGATTAAACATAACAATGTATGTTAAATTCAAGTAATAGAGACGAAAATTCAAACTTATATATTTGTGTTTTATTATATTTTTTATTTAATGTATTAGACAATAATTCACTCAGTTATTCTATAATGTCACCTAGCCATTCTAATACTTGCCTAATCAGCGAAATAAGAGATAGAGTCTTCACAAAACAGAATCTTTATTTTATAAAAGTGAAAATACAAAAAAAAAAAAAAAACTTCAAACAAAAAAAATCAAAATTCGCCATAATAATAGGGGTTATATATTTAGCCCTTAAAAAAATTGACTAAAATTGAATGATATTATATAATTTCATGAAGTCCACTGATATATTTAAACCTTAAAATAATGATTCAAAATGACTATTTTTTAACATGAATATTAGTAATTTCTTATGAACCAAAAAACATCAACATAAAAATAGAAAACAATAAAAACAGCAAATTATAAGGAAAACAAACACCACCTGACTGCTTGAGGTGTTGTGTCTCTCTTTCTTTCCTCTCCGATTATTCCTCTTTACTCTGTAAATTTTCAAAAGGAAACAAAAAATATTGTTCTTCGGAAAATCATTTCTGGGTTTCTTCTTCGTTTCGGTATATTTGTTTACTTTTCATTTCTTTCTCTTGAGTTTTTATTCATTGTTGTTATAATATACGTAATATATCCATGCTTTTCTCTTGTTTCTGAATGTGCATTGTGTTATTCATGTGTTGTTTTGAATTTGGGATCATGTATATTCTCTTGTTTACACCACATTCTTGTTTTGTAGTAAGCTTTATAATTTCCCATAATATTTTTTGTTTTTGTTTACTTATTTTCTCACTTGGAACTGTTTCATTGGATTCACGTGTATCCTCTAGCCAAGTTTGAATTTTTTTATTATTTTTACTTTGGGGTCTATATGGTTTTTTTAGGAACTAGGTTTTGCAAAATTTTGGGGACAATTTGATCTATGAATGCTTTTACTTTGTTGTTGTTTTTCCTTTTTATTCTCTCTCCTTCTCACTTTTTCATATGATTGATTACTTTGGACCATCTAGATTCCTTGTGCATTGTTCCAAACATTGCGCCAATCGATTCAAAAATTCATCTTCTTATGGTGTTGTTTGTTTCTTACAAGAATAGGACAGTAGTAGCTTGTGTTGGAAATGGATATGGTTGCACTTAATTGATGTAAGGTTCTTCCTATCCTGGGAGGACTTGGATTTGAGATTAGTGTGCAGTTCATTGGGAAATGGAAGACAATTGAGTGATCTTCTCAGAGACTCCGCTCTACTTGTGTTCCAATCAAGCGGAGCTACTCTGAGAGAGTACATGTACAGGCAAGATGATTGATCAATTCATCAATTTCATTATTCGGCCTCCCAGGTTAGAGACTAAATTGATGGTTTATTCTTTCATTTACGTTACACTTTATTGTGTTCAAATTTCAAACGAGTTACAGTTTCGGTGTATGTATTATGTCACGTATACAGGGCTCAGTATAATCCAGATCATTACCTATGGGAAAAGGAATTCATCCTTTCAGGAAAAAAATACCAAAGGAAGGATTTGGAGGCAAGTATGGACATGTTTTTTTGATACTACATTCCGATTGATTGTTTTTGAAAGTTACTTCACGGTTACAATTTATTAGTTTCGATAAAACCTTGCAGCTCAAGAATGCTAGAGGATATACTTTGCAGTGTAGTCATTACCTCCCTTTTTCTGTCCCGGAAGATATTTCTCTTCCTTGTGTTGTATATTGCCATGGAAATAGGTATTCCGTTTTTTGTGCACACTGCTATTACTTCGCTGTATAGTCTCTACTCTTCTCTGTATCGATGTTTCATGTTCGTATATACGTTCAATTATGCAGTGGATGTAGGGCAGATGCCAATGAAGCCGCTGTGATTCTTCTTCCATCAAATATTACTGTTTTTACGCTTGACTTCTCGGGATCAGGCTTATCTGATGGTGACCATGTTAGCCTTGGTTGGCACGAAGTAAGTTTCCTCTTCAGTTTCACATATTACATCTTTCATGAACGGTCAATTCAACACAATCATAAACTGACATGTTATGTGTAATATGTTCGCTCAAGTTTATGTTAACTTCCCAGTTACTTTTCTTTTAATGTATAAGAAACTTGTAAACTCTTTTTGTTTCTCTCTTTTTATGTCACAGAAAGAAGACCTCAAAATGGTGGTGTCGTATTTAAGAGAGGACAAACAAGTATCTCGTATAGGTCTCTGGGGACGATCAATGGGTGCTGTCACTTGGTATACATCTTCTAACAACGTGTTTGAGTTTAGTAAAAATTTATGTTCTACATATTTATATTCTAGATCGTGCACACAAAAAGAACAAGAGAACGAAAAACAAAGACTCCTCTATAAGAGAAGAGAAATTTTACTTTTTAGAGAGATTGAAAGAAGAGATAAAAGAAACTGACATACACATGAACAGATAGAATGTAAAAGTTTATATGGCTCTAGAGAGGTTTCTAAACCTAAGACTTAAATGCTGAGCTACCTGTATGCGAGATTCTCTAGTGTAATTGACTTCTCATTTTGCTTTGGTATGATATAGCCTTCTTTATGGTGCTGAAGACTCTTCTATTGCTGGAATGGTGTTGGATAGCGCCTTTTCAAACTTATATCGCTTGATGATGGAGCTTGTTGATGTCTATAAAATTCGACTTCCAAAGTTCACTGTAATAATCTCTCTCTCCCTACTTCTATCTGAATCTATATGCAGAAGTGACTCCTTAGTTTGGTTAAAAATTCTGACATTGTTACGTTTGGTTCATTGTTAGCTCAAAATGGTTGTACAATACATGCGGCGGGTTATTGAGAAGAAAGCAAAGTTTGATATTATGGACCTTAACTGTTTGCAGGTATGGATTGTTAGCTTTAATTCTACATTTTCTTTTTAAAATTATGATTAGAAAGTACCATACTCGTTGTGGTAACAATTATTGTCTGGCTATACAAATTGTTAAGTAGAGTTATTTCCTTTCCATAACTTTTTTGAAGTATTTAATTAGAAGCTTACAGGCTGCACCGAAGACATTCATTCCTGTTTTATTTGGACATGCTAACGACGACGATTTCGTTCATCCTCACCATTCTGATCTCATTTCTGAATCCTATGCGGTACTATTTCAAACATTTGACCTATTGTTTATCAAGCAATTTGCAGTTTTGCACTCTCTTCGCATAAACAAAACGTCTTTGGCCTCTAAATTTGTAGGGAAATAAAAATACCATAAAATTTGAGGGTGATCACAACTCTATTCGACCACAGATCTTCTACGATTCAGTTTGTATTTTTTTCTATAATGTCCTCCGCCCTCCTCACATTCCTAAAGCTCGTAGATTTGAGAAATATTACAGTATGAGGGATACAAGAGTTGGTTCTGCTGTGGACGAGGTAATTTGGCTTTTATCAGGTGAGTTTTAGTTGAATAATAGACACTAACTTGTTATTGGTATCTTTCTAGGACGTATTATATGATATAGTCTCTAGTTTGCGGTCTTCAACTATTGATGATGCCGCTTCATCTTCTGCTTCTACAACCATTTCAAATTCGATTCTATCCTCAGTAAGTGAGATTCTTTAAGGAATTGCTCCAATGACTCTTAGAATAAGACACCTCTTCAATCAGTTCTTGTTATTTTCTTCCAAAAGCTTTTTTGTTTAATTTGCGAATTGCTTGTAATGCAGAAGTCTGAGATTAGAGAAGAAACAACACATGGCTGTGGGGAACCTGTAGATTCAAAGGTGATTTTATTCAGTACCATCTCTGAAAAGCTGTTTGTTATCTGTGTGCTAATTGTGCGCTAATTGTTCGTTATCAACCTCATTAGTGGTTTAATGAGGTTTAAACACGTTGATCTGGAAGTCCTGAAAATACTTTTGATGATTCTGCAGGATGAGCCAAATTCTCCAACTGAAGATTATTTCTCATATTGTGGCTCAACAAAAGAAAGCTGGGGTGGTGATAATGATTCTGAAGTATTTGCAACACCTTTGGGAAGTATGAGAGAGACACTCGAAGAACAAAAAGGTGAAAAGAATCAAAAGAAGAAGAAGAAGAAAGCCGAAACAGTCGGAAAGAAACTGAAACCAGACAGGTTTGAGAAGTTGGAGTCCATTAGTCGACGCCTGCGGCTCTGCATTTTGAAGGGATATGCCCATCGAAGACACCAATCCTCTTGATTGCTGTTCTGAGATCTTCATCTAACATTACTGATTTTGCAACATCGATAGCTTGATTCTCTGTCAAAAAGAAAAACTTGTATGTGGGTTGATTGTTTTCTAGGAAATATTTTACATGTTTTTTTATATGCAAATTATTGATTACTCTTTGGCAAATGCTTGCTTTTTGTATCTAATGCATCCTCCAATCAACTATAAATTAACTTATCTATCTACTTTCTTTTTCCCAAACATGGCCTTAATTTTCAAGAGAAAGTATAGTATTGAAAATGAGCATTTTGAAAGTATAGCATATAACAATAACCTTTCTATTAACCCACTTCAAACCAATTCTCTAAAATAATTAAATTAAAGGTTGTGTATTTGGTCAAATATTCAGCTGAAAACTAAACTTTGAAAATCTATGAAGAACAAGTTCCTCCAACAACTAATTGTAATACATATAACACAAACTAAGATACTGCATATCCTGCAGATTACACCTCCAAATCACATATTCCTGCCACCAAGCTTGTCCAATTCCTCGCCACTTCTTGTAGACATACCTAAGGCAGAATCAAAGTGATCTCGGGTAAGGAAAAGAGTGGTTGGTTGCTGGTATGACGGCATGCTTGACTCCAGTATCTGATGTGGAAGCATCATGTCTGGATTTGAATACTCTCCTTCCACACTTACTCGTTGCTTTTTAGCTGATCTCTCACCGTTAGGACTATCAGCAGGAGAACCGACTTGGCAACCAGAATCTGGTGTCATCGGTTCGTGGTGAGATGAAAATGATTCGACTGAAAGACTCTTTGCTGGTGCATGATCTTTAGCAGCTTTTTCTGGGTCGGGGGTTGCTGGTTCAGTCTTATTGTCGAGTTCTTGTTGGCACATATCTCCTGGAGTTGGTGCTGCAATACCAGAGCCGGGTGCTTCTGAAAGAACCCCACTGAGTCGCTGTTGCTCTTCGATTATCTTTTTCAAATATTTTCCCTGAGCTTCTATCCTTAACTGTAGCTGTCTCTGCACCTGTTTCACAATGAATAAAAAAACAGTTACAAGCTTGAGATCTTATAGTTGACAGATCAGTTTGACAAGGAGGTATACCTCTAATTGTTCGTGTAGACGCTTCTGCACCTCCATTTGAAGCTTTAGTGCTTCATTAATCTGCATTCCCCTGAAGACATTTAACATTAGTTATTTATACCACCAAGAACTCATCAAACAATCAAGATCTTTGATACAAAAGAGAGATCTTTTATTATCAATAAGCTTCCTTGTATAATTATGATAACCCAAAAGCAAAAAAAGGAAGCTATACTCACGAGGAACCATCTAGATTGGAAAGCATGTCCCCCGTTTCTTTCTTGTCGGCTTTTTTCCCTTCTATTGACAGTTAAAAGTTATCAGCAAATTTAAAGAAGAAATCAAAGTGAAAAGGAAATTTAATACTTTAAATGGACTAAGAACAAACAAATCAGTAAGGTCTATGTATTATATGAAAGAGTAAAACAAAGAAAATTAGATTGACGTACCATCGGATGAGGAGTCAGGTAAGTATTTCGCTAGTCGGTATTTCTGTATGCAACAAAAGAGTAGAATGAACACTAAAAAATGAGAATAATGGAAATCAAGTTAAGAGGCTCTAAAGTGCACATTACCTGCAAATGGCTCTTAACATGGTAAATGGTTAAGCCTTGTACACCCATAACTCTGAGAACCCCTTTGGGTGTGGCACCTAGGGAAAAGAAAAGTCAAGAGATTAAAAAAACTTATGATAAGTTAAAGCTTGATAAACTTTTCGTCCAAATTAGGATATCAAGGCAACAAAAGTACTAGACATTTGATCCACATATGTAATGTAACAAATTCTACACGTTACATTTTCAGCTAATCGAATAGGGGATATAATACTCACGATCGGGCCCACCAAGTTGAGCCACAGCATCAACAAAGCGTTCATGTAGCTCATGTGTCCAGCGCAAACGTTGTTTTGAGTTGTTGGCAAGACTGTTTCCTCCACTACCAGGATCCATTGTGCTCCTACCACAATCTATGTTCTGGTCATGAACTAATGAATTGCTTCCAATTAAACTCGAATCAGGAACATTCTTTGGATGATACATTGATCATTTATCTGACAGCACATAAAGTGAACGGAATTTTAATAATATGGAAATTAATACAAGCATCTCTAACTTAATTGCATATCATATTTGAATATCAACATGTTCTGATTTCAATTATTAATCAGAATAAACACAACACATTATTTTTCCTGAAAACCAATGGTTCATTTGATCACAATTTAATAGATTAACACACCAATGACTTTCCGCAAACAGCAATATCCAGCATTCATAATTTTCTTGCAAACTAGTGTTAGTGAACCCGTGAGTGCAAAATCACGGTGTTGAGTAAAAAGTATATGGAGGTGAAACCAAATATCATCCAGGCACATTTCACAATGGATCATAACTTTAACAATAGTAAATAGAATAGAAGTCTTCTCTATCTAAAGCATCTTTCTTTCATTCTTCATTTCCTTCATAAGGCGAGTCTCTAGAAAAAAGTCAAGCCTCATTTCTTTCATAAGGCGAGTCTCTAGAAAAAAGTCAAGCCTCATTTCTTTCATAAGGCGAGTCTCTAGAAAAAAGTCAAGCCTCGTGAAATAGACGCACTAATACCATGTCTAAGAAACTTAAACTCGGTCAATTAAGAACTAGGTAAAACTTCTCATGGTTTCATTTGGCGAAAGTAAAATATATAAGCACGCGTAAGGTGAAGCCACAGAAAGTTTGAACTCAATTCAGTATCTAGATACACAACATAATGAACAAGGTAACACCATCTAAGATTTTGGACTCAAGTAGCAAAATATCTATAAAGTACCCTCCAAATATCATCTAATTACAGCTATATAACTAAATTACAATTGGTCTAGGCAATATTCTTTCTCTAGCACAGACAACCCTAAGCCCCCAAACCCTAAAAAATGGAGTTGAAATTAGAAATTGAATTTATTTTTGTAAACGTCATTTTTTTATCTACTAATAAAAATTTATACAGAAATAGAAGGCAAACGGACAACAAATTACGTCTCTCTAAGATACCATGTAGTATAATACAGGTAAAATTAAATTATGAATTATATAAGTAACATGAGTGAACAAGGAAACAGAGTTAAAGTTGTCAACTTTTCATGAAACTAATAAGTCTAGATATCAGGTAATTTGTCACACCCTAAAAATTAATTTATATATTCAAAAAATGCAATACTAACAGCAATTGGATGTAAGACCCAAAACAGAAAGAAAGAAGAAAAAAACCAGTAAAAGCTCCAGCATAGCACCAAGAGGTGAAAAGTTTACATCTTTGAGACTAACTCTGAAGAATACCCAATTCCCCACGACCAAGCATAGAACTTCACAAAAGAAAAGGGCAACATAAAAGTTGAAGTGAAAGCCTAAAAAAACAAACTTTAGGCTGAAGCTGAGACATTAGCATCATAGAGCTGAAGCACAGACTAAAGATGTCAAAAGGGTCACCAAAAATTCAAAAACTTCAAAGAATGATAAGCTAGAGAGAGAGAGGGAAGAGGGGAAAAAAAAGAGTGATGACATACATACCCAGATGAGAGGAGATGAGATCTAGGAAATCCAAGGAAGCATACAAAATTTCGCCCCCTTCAATTTCGGAGGTGTTTTGTGTATTCTGCGTCTTCTCTCTCTTCCTTCCTGTACAGTGAGATATGAGTATGATACCCTCCAATAAAAATTTCTCTTTTTCTTTTTCTGGGGTTGCTATTGTTATCATCAAACAAATAGACAAAAAATGGTCAGGTATAAACTCTTTTTATTGGAGGAAAATTATAAAAATAAATAAATTATTTTCATAAAAATCAATAAAATTATATACATAATTAAATAAATATTTTTATTAGGGAAGCAGGTTGAAAAGTTATTATTTCTACGCGTTTTTTTTTGGGTTAAATATTTAGTCTATCGTACCCTTTTGAGCACATTTTTCTTCAGCTAATTCAATGTTTGTGATACCTTTATTTCAAAATTGACTTGACCAATCAAACTATATTTTATAGATAGTGTACTTTTTACTACTAAAATAAATAATAATAATAATAACAATAAAGATTAACGAGAAAATTTTAAAATTAAAGAAAAAATCATGATTGTTAGAGGATATCATTATGGAAAAATTATTACAATATACTATAAATTATCTTCAAACATCTTAAAATCTCAACACAGTCTTATTTTCCAAAACGAATATTTAATTATTTCTCACTCTTAAATTGCAATTCAGTATGTCGAAAAGATTTGATTTGTTTTAGATTTAAATAGATTTGATTTGTTTTAAATTTAAATAGATTTGATTTAAGTCTAGAATATATTTGATTTGATTTAGTAACAAAATAGATATTTTGGGATTTGGGCTTAGAGTGTAAATTCAGTTATAAATAGAGGGAGTAACCCCTATTTTTGTAAGCAAGTCAAGCAAGTCATTCACAGTATTTTGCAGTTGCAAAGTGAATAAGAAAGTTTTCACAGTTTGTGAGCAGAGAGAAACTCTGCAGAAATTATTTGTCTTGTCTTCTTTTATTTGTTTGTCTCATAATTAAATTGTCATTGTGGTAGAAATTCATCATAGAATATTGGTAGATTTCCAATATCAGGTATCAAGAGCTTTGTTTTGATTCAAGGGAAGTATAAATCAAGAACGATTGAAGAATTCACGATGACAAGTTATGGGAGTGCAAACTATCCAGCAACCCTATCAATTCAGAAAGTTGACAACTATGAGAATTGGTGCAAACATATGAAAGTCTTATTCAGGTATCAAGGTCTTTGGGATCTTGTAAAAGATGGAGTCGAAGCGCTTGGAGAAAACGCTTCAGAAGAAAAAAAGAAGAAATACACAGAATCTGAGAAGCTGAGTTATAAAGCATTATTTATAATTCATCAATGTGTCAGCCCAGACAATTTCGAAAAGGTTAGTGA